TGTGTCGCCCCTTTAGCATTGTACCCCACTTCACAGCAAGGTGAGGTAGAGTCAGAGCTGGGCTGAACTTGCTGGCCACCTTATGGCTACCTAACACCTTGTGGGCCGCTGATTGACTGTGAGGCTCCTTCACAGATGCAGGTTCATCCCCATGTCCTCCCTCCATCATCACAGTAACTTGGGGCACCGGTGTCACTGGCAGAAAGTCTGTCCACACTTGGCACAGCCTGACACGAGGCTCCAGATGCAGAAGATAGTAATTACTGAATCCTTGTAAGGTACACTTGTAACTCCCTGCTGACTTAGCGTGATCCGATGGGACACTGGGCACCTCGATCCTCTCACCGTGGCTAGTAAGCCCCCTTGTACCCTTGTGTTTCTCGATATCTGTATCACTGTGCATTTCTGACATTCACTGATGGGCCTGAAGGTCAATAATCTCTCAATGGAGCAGGCCACAGGTGCAGACAAGAGGGAGATCACAGTGCTCATGGCCACAGGTTCTTCCACTGCTCAAGCCAGAGTGTGGCTACCCTCATGGAATCTTCACACTGAACGTCCAGAAACATAGAAACTAGGAGCAGGCCATTCAGCCTTTCGAGCCTACATGGCCATTCATTATGACCATGCCTGATCATCCATCTCCAGTTCCCTGTTCTTGTTTTCTTCCCATACTCTTTGAACCCTTTAACTCTAAGAACTATATCTAACTCCTTCTGGAAAACATTCAATGATTAGCATTAACCTCCTCTTTCTGTGGCAGAGAATTCGTCAGACTCACCACTCAGTCCTGAGATGAGGAGATTAAAACTGTCCACAATACTGCAAGCCTGTCTCACAAGGCCCTATATAAGTGTTGCATAGCATGATATCCCTGCTCCCTGACACAAATCCTCTTACTATCGTTACAGAGAAGAGGAGGTTAAATGAAAGAAAATCCCTCATATTCACTTTATAAGTAATAAGTAACAATTTACTTATTTAACCCTAACAGTGAACAAATTAACAGAATTACTAACAAACTGAACAATTCCTCCTTAGCTATTAACTATTTCCTAACTGAACTAACTCTACTGGTATGCTGTTCCAGTAAACACAAGTCTCACTTATATAAACCCAAGTAATAAGAAATTAAATTAAAATTAGTCTCTCAAAATCTACACGCCTTTCTTCTGGTATTCTCAAGTCATAAATGCCTTTCTTCCACTGCTCAGACCGTCAGAGATGTTTTCTCCAGGAAATCTTCAGTAAGGACTCTTAGCTAGAAATGCCGTGGTACTTTTTATGGGTAGATGGTGCTTTTTTAGAGAGCTAGATGCTTATTTCTTAGATGGCGGTTCACTCTCACGCCAGTTTTCAAAAACCCTCTCCTTGTGTACTTTGGATGACATATCAATTTTCTTACAATAGCATTGGTCCAAGGTTGTCAAAACCAACAGATTTAAATTCAATTGGCTTTCAAACGCTAAGTGCTTGGTTTAAATTAATTGGCTGATTCCAGCTAATTGCCAAAACATCAAAGCAAGCCTAAGGTTTCCAATCACACAGCTAATTGATACATCGAGTCATAGAGTAATACAGTGTGGAAACAGGCCCTTTGGTCCAACCTGGTCCATGCTGACCATGGTGCCCACTCAGCTAATTCCAATTGCTCACATTTGGTCCCTATTCCTCGAAATCCTTCCTATCCATGTACCTACCCAAATGCTTTTTAAATGTTGCTATTGTACCTGCCACAACCACTTTCTCTGGCAGCCCATTCCATATATGCACCGCTCTCTGTGTGAAGAAGTTGCCCCTCAGGTCCTTCTTAAATCTTTGCCCTCTCACCTTAAACCTATGCCCTCTAGTTTTCAATTCCCCATTCCTGGGAAAAAGACTATATACATTCATCCTATCTATGCCCCTTGTAATTTTATACACCTCAGTAAGGTCACCCCTCACTCTCCTACGCTCCAAGGAATGAAGTCCTATCCTGGCTAAACCCTCCCTATAACTCAGGCCTACTAGTCCTGGCAACATCCTTGTAAATCTTCTTTGCACACTTTCCAGTTTAACTATGTCTTTCCTATAACAAAACTGTACACAATGCTCCAAATGCAGCCTCACCAATGACTTATACAACTGTAACATCACGTCCCAACTCCAATATTCAATGCCTTGAACAACGAATGCCAGCATGCTAAATGCCTTCTTCACCAACCTGTCCACCTGTGATGCCGCTTTCAATGGACAAGTCCAAGCTGACTAATCAGACCTTGAATATCCAAATGTTGGTTGATCCTGTCCCTCAGTATCCTCTCCAATAACTTGCCTACCACTGATGTCAGGCTCATGTTTCAATTTCAGAACTGGCTGTACATCTTCAACCACATACAGACACATATTTTTTTCTCTGTGTAAATTCCGAAGCTTAGAAAGGCACTTTACCTCTTAAACGAACCATACACTCTTCTCCTTAATCATTTTTTACAATCAAATTCTAGCTTCCTGCCTTCCAATCCACGATTACTCTGCAGAACTTTGTAACACCCTGAATACTCAACACATATCATTTGTCTTCTTCAGAACCTGCTACAACTCCAGATTCACAACTTCAGCCTGGGGCTCAGCACAGGCTTGGCTTCCAACATTCCTCCAAGTGTCAGCAGCGTCGGCTGACACAGGCTCCAGCATCAGATCAGGTGTTTGAGCCATACGTGTACCAGGTAAGGTTCCTGCCCACCACAATGAGATTCTCTGTGCTCCTCCACAATGAACATTGGCCATATGCTGCCTGGGCACTGCTGGTCTAACAGGATCATCCTTCCAGTAGGTGCTGCAATGCTGCCCAGCCTACCTGTCTCTGTGGTTTGCCTCCTGCTGGGAGGCATTACTCCTCAAGTGGGTCTTGACCCCAAATCAATGGCTACTTGATTCATTTCTGGGAAAGAAAATCAACCATCTCACTACATGACTGCTGCCTACAGCAATACCAACAGCTGCCTCTCCACCACTATCTTTTAAAAGCTGCCTCCCTGCCTACTGCGTACTCATCAAAGATTCAGTGGGCCTCCAAAATAAGGTCCATTTGGCTCTGTGTAAATTGCTTGCTTATATAACAAGGGTGGAGTTTGCACACTGTTTACAGCATGTACTCAAATCCGTGTCCCATCATGATGACAACCCAAGGCCTTTCGACAAAATCTGATGCCCCTCCCCATCTCCACCTCTCTTTGTTTATCTGCTGTAAAATCCCAGCCTCAAAGGTGAAGGGGTGAGGGAGTTTGATAAAGTTAATGTGGAGACAATGATTCCATCAAAGTAGGACAGAATGCGAAGTATTCTCAACCAAATCCACTAAAGAATTTCAAGAAGACATTCTTTACCCAGAGAGTAATTGGAATGTGGAAGTAGGGCATTAGAGCTGCAAATGAAGAAGAAGGGCACGGAAAGAAAGGTTGATGAGGTTAGCTGAAGTAGGATGGACTGGGCAGGGAGGCTCATATGGAACAAAATCACTAGAACATGGAACATAGAACAGTGCAGCTCAGGAACAGGCCCTTCAGCCCACCATGTCTGTGCCGACCATGGTATCATTCTAAATTCATCCCATCTGCCTGGACATGATCTGCATCCCTCTATTCCCTGCCTGTGAGTGTCTAAATGCATCCTGAACATTGCTAACATATCTGCTTCTACCGCCTTCCCTGTCAGCATGTTCCCAGCACCTCCCACTCTCTGCGTAAAAAAAACTGCCTTGCACATCTTCTTTAAACTTTCCCCCTCTCAGCTTAAACCTATGTGCCCTAGTATTTGACATTTCCATCCTGGGTGAAAGAGTCCGACTATCCATCCTATCCATGCCTGTCATAATTTTAGATACTTCCATCAGGTCGCCCTCAGCAAAAAACAATCTAAATTTGTCCAACCTTTCCTTATTGCTAATACACTCCAATCCAAGCCCATTTGCACCCTCTCCTAAGCCTCCACATCCTTCCTATAGTGTGATGACCAGAAAAGCACACAATACTCCAAATGTGGCCTAACTAAAGTTTTATACAGCTCAACATGACTTGCCACCTTTTATATTCAATGCCACAACTGATGAAGGCAAGTGTGCCCTATATCTTCTCTACCACCTTAACCACTTGTGTTGCCACTTTCAGGGAGATATGGACTTGGACCCCAAGATCCCTCTGTATATCAATGTTTCTAATGGTCCTGCCATATACTGTATACTTTCCTCTTGCATTTGACCTCCAAAAATGCATCACATCACACTCGTCCAGATTAAACTCCATCTCTGCCGAACTTTCCAACTGATCTATAGTCTGCTGCATCCTTTGACAATCTTCCTCACTATCCACAGCTTCACCAATTTTCATGTCATCTGCAAACTTACTAATCAGACAACCCATATTTTCATCCAAATCATTTATATATATATTTATATATATTGCTAACAACAGAGGTCACAGCACTGATCGTTGCGGAACATCACTGGTCATAGACCTCCTGTCAGAAATACACCCCTCTACAATTACCCCCTGTCATCTATAACCAAGCCAGTTTTGTATCCAACTTAACAAATCACTGTAGATCCCATGTGACTTAATGAGGGACCTTGTCAAATGCTTTAGTAAAGTCCATGTGGACAACATCCACTGTCCTACCTTCATCAATCATGGACCAATTGGGCCAAATGGCCTATTTTGATGCTGTAAATGTTATGTAATTCTATCCAAAATAAAGAACATCAGGACTAAATGATAAAATGGACATTTGTTAGACCTATAAAAGTTGAGTTAAATAGTTTGGGAGGGTAACTTTTCATTTATGTCTGTTCATATTTTGGCATAGAAAGCTAAGACAGATGCTTGGCTTAGCTTGATCTGGAAAGCTTTTGGCTCATTCACCTCTAACACATAATATTCCATCACCCAAACGAACAGTGACATTGGTAAGTCTTTGGAGGCTACACATTTCTGGAACTAATAACATTCAAAATTTTCACTTACTTTTTGCTTTCTCTGTCCTCCCCCCTTTTTTTCTGGAGCAGGACCATAGAGTTGATGTTGAAGAATGGAGTGGAAGTTTTTGTCAGGCTAACATTAGGATAAGCTTATTTTTAACTGATTCTTAATCATAAAAAGCTGCTGTAAATTTGGAGAAAATCCATCTTCAGAGCTGAAATATAAATGAAATTGACTTGGATTACAGCAGAATGTTAACAAGTCACTTTATGCTGAACTTTATAAAAGAAAAATACAACCAGTTTGTATGCTTACTGTGTATCTCAACACTCAATTTAGACCGTATACCCAGACCAGTGCAATGACTGATAGAAACACAGAAACATAGAAATACAAGATTCCCCCACTCATTGTTCTAAACTCCAATGAATATGGTCCTAAACGCTCATCACACACCAGTCCTGCCCTCCAGGAATCAGTCCGATAAACATTCGTTGCACTCCCTCCATATCCAGAAATCCTTCCTCAGATAAAAAGACTAAGACTGCAGACAAAATTCCAAATGTGGTCTCACCAAGGCCCTGTACAATTTGCAGCAAGGTATCCCTGCTCCTGTACTCAAATCCACTCACTATGAAGGCCAATATGCCATTTGCATTCTTCACTGCCTGTTACACTTGCATGCTTACTTTCAGCTACTGGCGTACAAGGACTCCTGTGTGTCATTGCACTCTCTCTTTCCAAATCTATTGCCAATTAGATAATAATCTGTCTTCCTGTTTTTGCTACAGAATTGGATAACCTCACATTTATCCACATTATACTTCATTTGCCATGCATTTGCCCCCTCACTCAACTAGCTCAAAACATGCATCTTTGAATTTTCCTTACATTTCACTCTCCCATCCAGCTTTGTGTTGTTGTTTAAATGACAAGGGAAGGAAATTCCATTGTTGTCAGCCTCAAAAGTTCAAAATTCAATTGATTAAGAAATTGAATCTGAAGATCCGATTCAAATCCTATTGTTGGGGGATGAGGGCAAGATTGGGGCGGAGGGCATAAACAACCAGGAAAATAGAAGCATTACTGTCAGGGGAGTATAGTTTGTTTTAAAAAGCATGTATTTAAATATTAGACACAGGCATTGTGAAATTATCATTGTGATGTGGTTTGGCCATAGTGATACCATCAGAAACCCACTCAGTACCAGTAACTGTTCATAGAGTCATACAGCACAGAAACAGACCCTTTAGTCTAACCCGTCCATACTGACTGTAATCCCAAACTAAACTAGTCTCATCTACCTGCACTTGGCCCATATCCCTCCAAACATTTCTTATTCATGTACTGACCAAATGTCTTTTAAAAATTGTAACTACCTGTATTCACCACTTCCTCTGGAAGTTCATTCCGCATATAAACCACTCTTCTTGTCATTTTTTAAATCTTTCTCCTCGCAACTTTAAAAATCTGACCTCTAGTCTTGAAATCACCCAACCCAGGGAAATGACATTTACCATTCACCTTATCTATGGCCCTCCTTATCTATGATTTTTCAAACCTCTTACAAGGTCACCCCTCAACCTCTTACACTCCTGTGAAAAAGTCCCAGTTTATCCAGCCTCTCCTTATACTCAGACCCTCCATTCCCAGCAACATCCTTGTACGTTTTTTCTGAACCCTCTCCAGCTTAATGATATCCTTCCTATAACGGGGTGACCAGAACTGGACACAGTACTCCAGAAGAGGTCTCACCAATATCCTGTACAACCTCAACATGATGTCCCAAATCCTATACTCAAAGGTCTGAGCAATGAAGGCAAGCGTGCTAAATGCTTTCTTAACCACCTTATCCACATGCGATGCGAACTTCAAAGAATTAGGTACCTGAACCCCTCAGTCTCTCTGTTCTACAGTGCTACCCAAGGCCCTACTTTTAATTGTATAGGTCCTTTCCTTGTTTGTTTTACTAAAATATAATACCTGACATTTATCCAAATTAAACATGATCTGCCACTGCTCAGCCCATTGTCCCAATTAATCAAGATCTCTTTGTAATCTTAGATAACCTTCCTCACAGTCCACTATATCACCAATTTTTGTGTCATCTGCAAACTTACCAACCATGCCTTTTATATTCTCATCTAAACCATTTATATAAATGACAAACAAAAGTGGAACCAGCACTAATCCCTGTGGAACACCGCTGGTAGCAGGCCTCCAATCTGAAAAGCAATCTTCCACCATCACTCTCTATCTTTTGCCGTTAAGCCAGTTATGATTCAGCTGACAAGCTTACCCTTATTTCCCACGTGATCTAACTTTACTAACTAATCTACCATGTGCAACCTTGTCAGAGGCTTTACTAAAGTCCAAGTAAACAGTGTCTACCACTCTGCCCTCATCAACCTTCTAGGTTACTTCCTCTCAAAACTCAATCAAAGTTTGTGAGACATGGTTTCCCTTGCACAAAACCATGCCTACTGTTCCTAATCTATCCTTGCCTCTCCAAATGCATATAAATCCTATCTTTCAGAATCACCTCCAACAATTTACCCACCACCGAAGTCAGACTCACTGCTCTATAGTTCCCAGGCTTCTCCTTACATCCCTTCTTAAATGAAGGCACAACAATTGTCACTCTCCAGTCATCCGGCACCTCACTGTATTGTTTTTGTATGGTTGCTACAAAACACCACCTACCTCATACTGCTTTCTCCACCGCTGCTGTTGTATTATAGTATGAGGTCTCCAGAGCTTCATAGAAGGTCAAGCCAGACTTCTATGTTAGTTTTAAACAGTGTTTATTAACAGACCATACATGATGACATAGCTACAGAGCAACATGCTCTGTCCTGTACAATCTGTAAGGTCCTAACGCAGTACAAGCAGATTAGTACTGAGATCACTGGTACATCACAGCTTACCTCCCAGGTTCATCTACATGTTCATTGAAACTTGGCCCTGACTTTCACCAAGGAGGAGAGTTTCTCCACTACAGCAAAAATGCCAGAGGAAATTGGAAATTGCAAGATTGACTTCCCTCAAACCCGACCTCTCATTGTTGTAGGGGCACAATTGGCTCAGACTGTGGTTCATGCACACATAATCTAGTAGATAACTGGCCATTTAAATGACCAGCTGCCTCCACTGAAATGGTATTTTGGAGTCATTGGAGATTAGACCAGGTGAGAGCAGGCCTGTCCTCGCTGTTCTGTCTTTTGGATGATTAGGGTATGCCTTTGAAGAGCTGAGCTAATGTTGCAGATATAATGCAAGGACGTGTTGGAGGTGGGGCTCAGGTATCCTTTCAGGGCAGTTAACTGTGGAGAAGATCATGCGCACATAGTACACAAGCACCTTGAAGCTGTATGCCTTGCGAAAACCTGTCTACAAATATCAACATGTCAATGAGTGTCAACCTGTCAACAAGAATCTAGAAGTCACAAAATGTGGGGATTACTATTGACCAGAACTGAATGGACCAGCCATATAAATCGTATAGCTATCAGAGGTAAGAGGCCAGGAATTCTGCGGCAAGGAACTTATGTCCTGACTTCTCAAAACATGCCCACAAGGTACAAGTCAGGAGTGCAGTTAAATCAGCACTCAAGAAACTTCTCATCAACTGCAACAACTCATCCGGGCTCCTTTAACAACACTTTCCAACGTCTGCCACCTAGAAAGGCCAGGGCAGCACATACATGGGAACAAAACCCCCAAACAGGTTTCCCTACGAACACACACTATCCTGACTTGGAACAATATTGTCATTCCTTCAGTGTCGGCGAGCCAAGATCCTGGAGCTCCTTCCCTAACAGTGCTTTGGACGATCCTACACACTGAGGACTGCAGCAATTCAAGAAGACAGCTCTCAAGGGCAATTAAGAATGGGCAATAAATGCTGGCATGGCCAGTAACTTGGACATCCTGTGAATGAATAAGAGAAAATATGAATGATGGTGTTTGTCTTAATATATTGTAGTCTACCTTATAGAAGTCAAAGTAATAGCACTATATTTTTTCTCCTATATGCATGGGTCCTTATGGATATTTTCATTTATTCACAGGAATAAGTCTCTATCTCTATAGTGACATCATCAGAAACTGTCACTACTTTCTGCCAAGCTTGAAAGCTCATTCAAATAAGTCGCGCAACAACTGTGGAAAATTAACTGACAATACAGAAAGTAATGGTACGCTGACCTCCCTTTGAAACGACTGGACATATTAAATTTAAAACAAGGTTTATTTTTGTTTTCAAAACCAAACAAGAAATAGAGGCATTTTTCAGAGAAAGAAACATACTCACACTTATACACAGGCAGTCTCCAGGTTACAAAAGGATTCCGTCCTGGAGTCCGTTCAGAAGTCAATTTGTACAAATGCAGGACAATGGAAATCAGCCATTTGTAAGTACAGAAAATGTTCATATATAAGGTCTTTAAAATTAAAGTCATGTATAGGATTGCATTCACAGGTATGAGAGCTGTAAGTCAGGCATTCATAAATAGGGAATAAAAACCAAAAGAACTGTGGAACTTGGAAATCCGAAACAAAAACAGAAATTGCTGGAAAAGCTCAGCAGGTCTGCCTGCATCTTTGGAGAGAAACATAGAACATAGAACATAGAACATAGAACATTACAGCGCAGTACAGGCCCTTCGGCCCTCGATGTTGCGCCGACCTGTGAAACCAATCTGAAGCCCATCTAACCTAAACTATTCCATTATCATCCATATGTTTATCCAATGACCATTTAAATGCCCTTAAAGTGGGCGAGTCTACTATTTTTGCAGGCAGGGCATTCCACGCCCTTACTACTCTCTGAGTAAAGAACCTACCTCTGACATCTGTCCTATATCTATCACCCCTCAACTTAAAGCTATGTCCCCTCGTGCTAGCCATCACCATCCGAGGAAAAAGGCTCCCACTGTCCACCCTATCTAATCCTCTGATCATCTTGTATGTCTCTATCAAGTCACCTCTTAACCTTCTTCTCTCTAACGAAAACAGCCTCAAGACCCTCAGCCTTTCCTCATAAGACCTTCCCTCCATACCAGGCAACATCCTGGTAAATCTCCTCTGCACCCTTTCCAATGCTTCCACATCCTTCCTATAATGCGGTGACCAGAACTGTACGCAATACTCCAAGTGCGGCCGCACCAGAGTTTTGTACAGCTGCAACATGACCTCATGGCTCCGAACCTCAAT